GTAAGACTCAAAGAAACCAGTTCATAAATATTAAGACGAATTGTAAAAGTGGTGAATTGACACGGAAAGATTCGACCACATCCGTCCAAGAAGGAACACGGTTGGTATATCAATGGCTTCATTTGAACGATATTCAAGAGATCACATAACTTATTTAGCCAATATACGGGAAAACTTTTCGTTCTGTGGGGCAGCGAGGATTCTTGGCCCTCCTATAACCGAAAACGCTCATCTGTGCTCTTAGGTTTCCTTTTAAGGACTTTTATTGGCTTACGCATCGGACTAACGTTGTAGTTGCAAGATCAAAGAAGACTATGTACGCTTGGGAGAGATTTCACAGGTAGAAATAAGATCGTCGGAAATCTCATGACATCGAAAGGTATTAGTATTCCATATGGTATCAAAGCGCTACTCATTTTAGCCTATGTATGAGGAGAATTCTGCTCTTTAGTCGTTTCCATTTTTTTGCTTTACATACCGTTTTTTTCTTTTAAACGCTGTTTTGGCATTGGCTCACGCAAAAGTTCTTATTAGGCGCCGCGAAGCAACCGGGCATTGGTTAGTTATGTATAATTTTTAGCAAATATTCTAAAAAAATTACTTTTGGTGCAAATATGATGAACATGATATAATTTATTTACATCGCGTTTCTTTCTTGGACGCCAAAGTATGATTCTTTATAAACGCAATGAGGCCCAGTTTATCTAAAATTTAAAAACAAATGTAGAAGGTAGAGAACCTAAGTGAATATACATACAAAAGTTTCTATACAAAGTTATGATTTCATGTCCATAAATATATATGTATGTACATACATATGTATGTAGCAGTTCAAGCATTTACCGAAATTTTAGTTCGTACATTAGCATGAACACCTTTTGTATCTATTTTTACTAACAAAATTGATAGATGCATTTATTTGCTTCGTCAATTGAAAATTAGGATATGGCCGTTTGTGTGTACCGTTTCGTGAAGACCCTTAATGGTTTATTTTATACTAAGTTTTAATTACAGCAGCAGTTATAATCAGTTGTGGGTTATAAATATTTAATTGGTCATAGTTTGCCCTTATCTGCTTTATTGTGTTTCAGCCATTGGGGAGAGTTGGGGTTTACTAATATTAGGGTGGTCTTGCTTTTTTGTAAGTACGATAGTATTTATATAACCAATGAACATTAAATCTAAAGGCATTTAGTTCAGTCACCTGTATCTAGCTCGGTTACTTCGCCACACAATTATTCTATTGCATTTACCTTGTTTATATGGCATCAAACGAGATATCGAATCAACTCGTATCAGTGTAGCGCCCGCTTGGAATGCAAGTGTTTATATGTTTATATACAACAAAAGAAATGAGTCGATCGAACACGCTTTCAAATAGATGTCATCCCCATGAAACCTGATCGCACAGGCTAAAAAGTCAAGTGCGTTCTAATCTGACAGTCAGCCCGTAATTACAGCACTAAAACGACAGTTTATTGCAGTTATGTAAAGCGAGCAGGTGACGCTGGAAATGACCACAGGAAATGCTTTGCTGACCAGATTGCCAGAGAAGGGACAGAAATAGTCATTGTAAATTCTGCTCAGAAAATGCGTATAAATATGTCTTCCAACGAGTACATAAAAACTTATACTGAAGACAAATCATTGCGAAAACGGTTCGTTCCCCAACCAAAATTACAACGGCATAACAGGAATCCGTTTCAAATTACATTATCTTGAAAAATTTCGAGGAAAACATATCCAATCCGTTAATACATCTTCACCGCTTCTCTTTAAGTTTGGTCTTTTCATGTTTATCACCAAGCCTCGGATTTCGTTGAAATGTATCTTCTTCTAGAATCCTAGTATGCTTTCTGTGTATAAAATTTCATCTTCTCTTCTTGATTGGCGCTGTATACGCCTAAGCGATTCTGACCGAGTTCTCCGCATTGAAAACTGACGTCAATTGGGAATGCTAAGTGAAGTCAAGTCCTTCTTCACCTGGTTTTCCATTGCACCGGAGGGCAGTCACTCCTTCTGCTCACGACCCGCATTGCATGCCGTGTGTCCTAAACATAAATCCTCTACGAACTGATTACTTCTCAATCCAAGAGAGTTCAGCACCCATTAATCAGCGTGTCAACTTTCTTGCAAAGTACACAGAACTAAAATGGCTCCTCAGCTGTCCGGGAAAGTGGTGACGCTCTCGCCTTGTTAATGGGGTAAACTAGTGAAGTACTAGTCTTTACACGCGACAGACAGCCTTCGGCTATAGCAAAACTTCTGTTTGGAAAACACTTGCAAAATCACCTGCCTGCACCATTTTCGCATTCCATTTTGAAGCCATCGGTATACATATGGTGTGTCAAGGCGGAGGTATCAAAATCTCTGCCCCAGTCAGACCCTAAATAGCTTATGAAATTCTATTCCAGGTCGCATATAAGCAGTGTCTAGTCATATCTTGAACGAAAATGGAGAAATTATGCTACTATGCCCACTCAACTATAACAAATAAACTTGTAATAACATTGAGGCCTTTCGTATGGCAAGTTTTCAATGGGGTAGAAGTGCCGGCTCTATGACCTCTGCCTAATTTTAAATCACTATACTAGTTACATAAAGCTGTCGACCACACCAAGCAACTGTAATATAAATCGAAGAAATTTAAAAAGTTTTCAGGTCATTCAGCTTTTTGTTAATTTTTGATGTTTAGTTAATTTTTAGGCTTTCAGCTCGTATTTCGGGTCATTTGTTTGACCCATTTTAGTTATTGGTTTCCCCTAAGCCATTCTGCAATACTTTCAAGAAGTTTCAATTCTCTTTAAAGCAAATGCATGTATAGAATTGACAACAATAACCATGCTGTCAAGTTTAAATAGCGCCAAATCAGCTGCAATATTAAAATCCATTCCAACTTTTGAATCAACGCCAGTCTTTATAAATTGCTCTTGTGACATGAAACAAAAAGCCGTAAAAAAACGCATTTTTTAGCAGCGGGAATTCTTAGGTACACATTGTAAGTTATACTATAATTCCACGGGGTAAAAAGTCAGAGTAGAAAGTTCGAAATTTTTATGAAGTTTTGTTGAATTTTTCTAAATATTTAAATGAAAAGTTTTTATTGAAATAACTAAACAAATTAAATGAATATATTTTTTTTATTGAAAAAACTATAAAAATTATTGGTAGATTGTCTCCATATTTGGTAGAAGTTTTTAATGTGTATGGTAGTCTTTTTTTGTGTAAGTGGCAACCCTGGTCAACACAGATGACTCGCGAGTCAGACGCACCGTCTGTGGCGCTTATAAATGAGGCCGTGAGAGCTGATGTGGCCTAACCTATTTCTTTTGTTTTTGTACTTAACTTCTTAAAATAATTTCAAATGTAATAAGTAGGGCTCGGAATCGCATGCAAATGCATGTTTTTATTGGGCATCTTCAAATGGAAATGGTTAAATTATCTTTACGAATCATTAAAATGCCTTCAAAATGGCATTCAATCGTTAATGGATATTTTTGCATATTTCGCAGTAAATGCATGATTTTGCATATTTTGCAAAAACTGCCTGTTAAGTTAAGTATATTTTTGCATTTTTTTGATCTACACCTATTGAATTTAATCCACTCTCTTCAGCCTCTGTTAGATCTCAACTAGTGGAGAACTGTAGGAGAGAGCTGGCCTATATCAGGTGGAAGGGTACAGGATCGTACAGGGTTACCCGGCAGTTAAGGGTGTCCTAAGACCCACTTAAAACCAAAGCTCTCTTAGAAATGAGCAAAGAAGATATCTACAAGCTTACTGCAGTATGCACAGGGTACCGGCCCGTTGGGGTGCATGCCGAAAGCATTAGATTGGTCTTGAATAGGTTATGTCACAGTTGGTCGCTCAAAAGAGACAATCGAACAATTCCTGTGCGATTGTCCGAGGACGAGGCTTAAGATACTGGGCAAGTCAGTATGACGTACTGAATGGGTGATAATCAACATAAACCAACCAAACATTCATCTGAACCACAATAACTGTCAATGTTCCAATTTACACAAGATTGTAACTAATTTTATACATAAATAAGTATTGTATTTTGAATTGTTTTCGTTATTTTCTTGTTAAAATACATTTATTTTTTATTTTTGTACTGGCAATTAAATATATGGAAAATATTTTTAACTGCATATTTTACTGTTTATAACGCATATGTTCGATTTTTTAGTGCATGATATTCCGAGCCTTAGTGATTCGCCTTAAAATTAAGGTTGCTTATTTCTTAAGTTGATGGAAGCTACGTAGGTCTGTGCCTTAAAATGAAGGAATAAGCGATTTGCATTTTAAAATGTATACCATTTTTGGTATTAGGTCACTTCTGCTCTCATGGCCTCAACTAGCTTGGAAGAAAATAAAATAAATATTCCTGTATATGTTTGTGAGCCACCCTCATGTATTATATAGTACATCTAGTATGTATGTATCCAACTGTTTCAGTCTCTTTTATAAAATATAAATTATTTATATGTTCGAAAATCGAGGCACATAATCTCATTACAAATATACATATGTATGTATGTACACGCCCACTGCAAAATCGAATCTATATCCGTTCGAATACGTCCCACTTCTATCACCTTCGACGTGTGAAATTTGTGTGTAAATACATATGTACATGTCTATTCATGTATATTTGTCTTGTGTGAAATTTACAACGCTGGAAACTTTTGTTCGTGCTTTTAATCGATGCAATTGCTTGCAGTATAGTCAGAATAGTACTATAAGTACAAAGAAGTAATAAAGAACAACAAATAAACTGAAATGAAAAAATTAATTGCTTTTTATTAGCCTTTTGTATGCAGGGCAATACATGTAATTTTACGTACCTATGTAAATTTACCTACATATAACTATCTGTTTTGTTTTTTTTAAGAAGTATTTTTCTCTTAATTGATGGTGATTTTCTCCTCATCATAATTCAATGATCAATTGTTGAGAGTGTTAAATTGCTATCACAAGGCGGCCGGCAAGCGACACGAGATCTTTAACTGATATAAAAGTACCGCAGCGTTGTGAGAAAAATTCAAAAAGCGAGTTGTGATCGGCAAATCGAGTGGTTAGATCAGCGCGTTGTTAAAAACTTTAAATTTCGAATCGCAAAAATGAAGTATTTCGTGGTGTTCCTGTTCATCTGTGGCTTGGCCACTTCATACGCTCAAGTACGTAGGGAGAAATAAAATAAATTTAAATGACGAGTTTGTGCCTTAAGTCTTTTGATTGAAGTGAGAATTAAACAGACAATTAAGGAGTCATAAAAAGTTAGAATACGACAAAATTTAGCACAGAACTTGTGTTTTAAAACTTTTGATGTTCATACCTAGTGTGTGAATGATTTTTCTAAAAGATACTTTGAGGAAGCCACAAAAAAGGTTTCCACAAAGCCAACTGCCGTAATAATAATAGAATAAGCTAGACCCATCAACCATTTAGTTTAAAAATTTGTAAAATTTTTGATCGTTAAATTCATGAATAAATTTCAATTGATTGCTTTTAGCTGGAAGAAGTCGTAAAAAAGGCTCAGAAAATAGCTGGTGACTGTAAAGAGGAAGTTGGTGCCACTGATGGTAAGCTGTGCATTAAAAAATGCAGTAAACCAACTATGAAAAATATGTTTTTTTTTTGGTTTTCATAAATTCACAGCGGATGTTGAAGCAATGTTCAAACATGAACCAGCCGGAAATGACAAAGCCAAATGCCTTAACGCTTGTGTTTTGAAAAATTTTGGTTTTGTAAGTTTATTATCCCTTTGATACAGTGCGAAAATACGCAAGACTACTAATATCAGCAGAAAAGAAGTAATCACATACTATATGCATATATTTTGTTCTAATTTCAATAGTTGGATGCTGATAATAAACTGGTTAAGGATGTGGGTGTAGATTTTCTAAAGAGTATCTCCGGTGGCGATGCCGCCTATGAAAAGCTGGGCACTGAGATTTTGGATGCCTGCAAGGATACACCAGCCGGTGGCAACAAGTATGTGGCATATGGTCCTTTTAATGAATATCCTTAGAATTATATACATGCATATGTACATATATGCCCTTTTATTTATTATAATTCTAGCTGCGAAACCAGTGAAGCCCTGCGTACCTGCCTCATTGAAAAATCGCAAGAAAAGGGTTTTAAATTACCATTCTAAGTATGGAAAATTGTTGATGACCCACTGACGAGTGATTTACAGTTGTGATACGAAATTACTTCTGTTTACTAGTATTTACCCTCAACCTCATGTTTTAAAAACGACAAGCAGTAAACTAAGTAACAAATAAATGAAAGAGCATTTTTGAATATGAGAATTGCATAAATTTTTTCAATCAAATTCTCTACTTACAAAAGAGATCAAGGCGAATTTATAGCCCAGTTCGCGTACGCATTATCCAGTAAAATCCAGTACTAATTTTACTGGTTTTTTCTGGATGGCGTTTTCATACGCAAAAAATTGCAAGAAACCAGCAAAAGAGAGAATTGAGAGAGCAAAACTGAAAGCTGATCTTGCAAGTTTCACTGGATTTTTACTGAATAAATTTTTACTAGTAACTATTTGCTAGTAAGAAAAACAGATGATGCCTAATGCAATTCACATTACCAAAATAATTGTTTTTGGTGCTTTTAGTGTTGCAATTGACAAAATAAACCTATTTAAATATATATTAAGATGGGAAATACTATTTTTATTAGAAAATTGCGTCGGAAAATAACAAATTAATCAGCTGTTCATAAAACTTGCAATTTCTTGCTGGTTTCGCGTTTTCGTACTTTCTTGCATATTTCTCTCATTGGGAGTAAAAATTGGCTTACTCTCCCAATTTTGGTTACTGACAATTTACTGGATATTTTTTGTTGGTTTTGTTTTGTTGTTACATGTGTAAAAATTTCTTATGAGTGAGTAAGAAAATGAGAGTGTTGAAACTTTCTTTCGCTCTTCTTCCTTGAGCAAAGAATAGCCGAAATTTGACATTTGTGTACCGAAAGCAAAAACAAAATAGATGTAAGTTTTTTTTGTACTACCGCTACCACTTTGTATGAATTCGCCTTGAAAGAGATGTAAGAATAAGATCTGGAGATTGACTTCAAGTACTTTAGTATTTTGATTGATACACAATAAAAAAAAAACATTAGGTGCATAGTGAAATAATATAAAGTGTGCCATATGTAATGGCATTCTATTTCAGAACTCTTAGTTGACAATTTGGGTTAGGTTAGGTAAGCTGGCCAGACACTGCGTGGTTTCGCAGAGACCATTTAGGTCCATAGTGTTACCAGATAAACTACGACCCCTCTGCACAGCTATCAGTAGCAATGCTGTAGAACACCGCAGTTCTCTTGGCAAACTGGAACACCTTGTTATACCGCACCTTGGCGGCGGCTTCTAGATTAGGTAGAAAACCTGCCCCAAGCAGGCTAACCCGCAGTCTGCTAAGGGCGGGGCGCTCGCAGAAGATATGATGCTCTACTGGCTCCTTTTTCGTTCTGCACCTTCTACAGATATTACCATTGGTCAGAGCCAGTTTAAAGGCATGCGATGCCAGCAGACAATGTCCCGTTGAGGGAAAGGAGGGACTTCGTGCGCTTCATGTTATACGCACATAATCCTGGACACCTTGCATCCTTGCGTTTTGTTCCACGCCTTCTGCGCATTCCGGATCATGGACAGGTCGAGTTCCCGTTTAATCGTTGGGAGGGAAATCGGCACCTCCACAGTGAGAATGGTTTCCGACAAAGCGCCGTCATTACAAGCTTGTGCACCGGAACAAAATACAGATGTAAATTCAGAGCTGCACTGTACTCCGCCAAACTTCCAGAGGAAGTGCTGTGCGATAGTAGCGTATTTATCGCAGCTTGACTGTCCACATAGTAATTCACCTGCTTATTTGCTACATTTGCATGTTCAGTACCTCCGCCGCCCTCCTCATAGCGAATACTTCCGCCTGGAAAATGTTGCAATAGTATAAGACAATTCTTTGTCAACAATTTTGCTTCGATTTGACTTTCATACTAACCCTTTTTGAGTGAGAACTTATGAAGTTTTTTGATTTTAGTAAAAAATTAAAGAAGAAAGCCAAGAAATTGTTGCTGTTTGCGCAAAAACACACATGGAGTTACAGCACTGATGTTTTCAGTCCCGAAGTATGAGGATATAAGTCGAAGTTGGGAGAGGTTTGCAACAAAATCAAGGGTTAATGGCAGAATTGAAAAAGTGAAAATTGCAAACTCAAATACATATTGATTTCAACTGACATACATATACATTAGGGTGGTCCCTAAAAATGAAATGAGCCATTTTTTCAGTCTCGCCCCGTCAATAAGTAATATCACGGTCACAGATATCACATACAAATTTTGGTCCCGATTGGAGTCGGTTAAGGCGTGTCGCACAGGGGCCAAAGTTCAGAATCCTCTATAGAGACTCAACAAATTTAAATCAATTATCAATAATATCACATATAAATTTTGGGTCCAAAGCCAGATGCTCCATGAGGACTCAAACAATTAAAAATATTTTTTTCATTTAATACCCATAATCGCTACCACTAAAGTCGAAGATATCAAATAAAAGTTTTGGTCCCGATTGGAGTCGGTTAAGACGTCTTCATAGGGTAATCTGAACTTTGACTCCTGTGCGACACGCCTTTACCGACTTCAATCGGTGCCAAAGTTATATGTTATATCTACGACTAGTAGCATCGGCGGGGGTTTGAGGGGTTGAGGTTTAAGAAATCTGATGTAAAAATTTGCTTCCTACATTTAAGGACCACTCTAATATACATATATATATATATATATATATATGTGTTCATAACTCAAGTGAATTAGAAAATGGAATTGTAACTATTTTTGTTATGTATTTGGTTTTTTATAAGCAATCGAAACGGAGCAATTTTAGAAAAAACATGAATGCTTTAGAATTAGAAAACTTGGTTACCGATTAATAAATAAATTCTTCTCCTTATTTGGCATTGCAAGCGTTTGTCGGTTTGGGCCGGGACGAAAAACTTGGCCAATTTATGCTTTGCAAATTCGCGCCAGTTTTTCCACCTTTTTGTGAGTGTCTTTGCTTTCCTTGACCATCCGTGGCTGTCGAGCCGAAAGATCTTTTCACTGGAGCAATTTCTGTCCAAATCATTAAAAAGCCCATAAAGTTCTTCATTTCATCTCTTTCGGTACCCGTCCCCCATGCAAAAAGGACCATTAAATCTTGCGTACAATAGTTCTCTCGATAGCACTATCGTCCATGTTTCTGCGTCTTATTAAAGGACGGGTTGGATGAGAGATTTGTAGGGCGTAGTTTTTGTTCGCCGGGAGAGGGCTCTATTTTTAATTGCCTGCCGTGCCCAAAGTAGCACCTGCTGGCAAGATTTATTCTTCGCTCGTTCACCGCTTTAGCTTCTTTTTCTTAGCTGGCAAATGCTGCGCTGATGTCTCTAAGTCTCAGCGGAGCTAAAGTTTGTGCTCAACGTCACTCTACATAGTCGTATTCGTTTTGTAGGAATCCCAAATTTAATAATCAATAATGTCTTTACCAGGCCTGATAAGGTCCAATCAGTTGGTTTGTGAAGGGCCTCAGTCTTTCACGCAGTATCGCTTAAGGACCTTATAAACACTATTTAGAAGGTTTATTCGATATATGGCGGATCTCCCTTCTTGTGGATTGGACAAGGTAAACTGAAATTCCAATCTTCGGGCATGTATTTATCAGGCCGAAATATTATTACTCACTTGAGATTTATTTTGGTGTAGCTCGTAATTAAGTGAAATGCTAAATTTTGTAAAAATAAGTATGCATTCTGATCAATGGTAAATTTGAATCGATGCAAACAGAAAAATGCGGATATAACCGAATTGTTGTAAAATTTAATCGCTATTTACTGGGATCAAACTATTAATCAACATTACTCCGTGAAAGACTAAGAAAAAAGTTAAATAGATTTTTTTTAAGACAAGCTTTTATTAATAATTAATAATAGTAATAATAAATTGGCGCTTACACATATGTTAGTGTTTGGGCGAGCTTCTCCTCCGATTTGTGGCGTGCGCCTTGATGTTGTGTCATACAAAGGGGAGGGACCTACAGTTTTACACCAACTCCGAACGGCGATTGTATTTTGATGAGAAACGGTTTTTCATGGCAAGAAACTGTTTTTTTTTTGCGATGTTGCTTTGACCAGGGCTTGAACCCAGACCTGCAGAGTGGATGCGCGCACTGCTTACCACTACATCACAGCGGCCGCCAAGCTTTTATTAGTGGTGAGTAAAAAGAAGAAAAATCGACCCTAGTGCCACCCAGCGGCTAAATTTTTAGTTAATATATGTTTCAAATATGAACGAAATCGGACCATAAAAAACAGATTTATAAAATACTTGGTCTCCTGTGCCACCTATCGGCCAAATTTTTTGTGGAGTTATTTGTTAACATGTAAGTAATATGCTTTCCAAATATGAACCCACCCTCTGGAACGATAAATACGGGAATTTCAAATAGCTCGACCCCTGTGCCACCTAGCGGATTAATTCATCTTTCGTAATGCATAGTCCTCGGGTTCCGAGCTAAGTTTGAAGTTTCAAGTCTCTAGCTCATTAGTTAAAATTTGATTGCTAGATTTAATTACACAGAGGTGAAACATAATTAAAGCTTGTAAAAGGAACCGAATTTTGGAAAGAAAAATCATGGGTTTTCTATCGAAGGTTTCTAGGCCAGTACAACATCCCAGTGTCGAACCATATACCTTATTCGCCAGATCTTGCGCCGTGCGATAACTTTCTGCTTACGGTCGTTCACGATTTCATCTGATTGTATGAAATCGAAACTATTTTGTAGACTCATTTGTTTGCCTTCGCGAATTATGGGTACTGAGTGGGTAGAAGGTAAGTACAGCTTTTAACTGACATGAGATTGAATAGCTAACCGGTGCTAATCGTCGGATATCTCATACACATCGGTTTAGGCTGTCTATAGACGAGGAGGTGGCGGAAGATATCTGTTGTGACTGACCGGCATTGGCCGGACAAAGACTAATACAATACAATTGGTCCATAGTCGAATGCCTTACAATTAGAAATTTGTTTATTGTTAGCTTTCATTGAGGATACTATGGGTATCTTGGGCTATCAGGGTTAGGACTTTATCATCAGTTCCAGGACCCCGTGCTCTGATACAAACAATTTTTTAGTATAAAGCATCAGCTCTAATTGGATAACTGTGATTTAGAAATAATAGAGACGGATGCTTCGTATTAATGCGTTTTGTAAAACAACTTATCTTTTTTGATGTGGAAATCGCACATTGTCTAGCTAAATAGCTAAATAGCTAAAAAACTCAAAATCTTTTTGTTTTACTAAAGTTACATCATTTGTTCTGAAAATTCGCAGAAAATAATTTTCGATTGTCTTTGAAGCAAATCAATTAAGTATTATGTGAAAATCTTTAGTCATTAGCTACTTTAGAATCATTACGTTCTAATGATTAGAGCAATCAATTGACAAAGTAAATGTCACTTTAATTGTTCATACATTTATCTATGAATGAATGCATATACATACGTACATATGTTCATATATACATTAGACCGAAGCACCATACAAGCAAACAAAATCGCCGTACATCCCTTAGTCGAAAGTATTTTTCCAAGACAATTAAGAAAAGGGGTTTTGAGGAGTCTTTTTACGTTTTTCAGTAACACAAACCTTCGGCAATAATTTTTTTTTAATAGTTCTACTGGAATAAGCAAAAATTGACTGATTTTTGCAGAGATTTAATTTACTGACATTAGGGTGGTAGGAACGCAGATCTGGTAGGTAAGTAGCAGAGCGTGGCACTTGAGGTAAATAAACTTGAGAACAAAAAAAATTGCATCCTCGAGGCAAGAATGGCGATGTATCATGCTTTCGGAAAAAAAAACGAAATTACCTTGCAAAAATACTTTAGACTCGGGTGTGCTTCGATTTTTTTTTCTGGTACGGTCTAATGTACATACATAGGAGCATGTGTAAATAAACATATATATTTTTATTAATTTTAGTTTGCACGCAACTTTTATTTTATTTTTTTTAACTTAAGTTTTTAACAATTGTTTAAAATTGTCACATGATTCCAGTATATAAATGTACAGCAAGTTGCTTGAAAAGTCAATATCCGAACAGTTGGACATAAGACAGAGTCCTCGTAGTTACAAAATTTAAAAAAATTGTTTAAATTCGTAAAAAATATGAAATCCTATTTCATTTGTTTGGTTGTATGTGCGGTGTTCACATCTTACGTTGAGGTATGAGGAAGTGATAAGCATCAAGGATTCAGTGTTTTAAATGAGCTAGATGCTTATGTTGCTTATGTATCGGTTTTTCATTGTAAATTTTTGGCTCAGTGGAAGGACAGTGCATGAAAACGGTAAACACAGTAAAGAAAGAGGAAAAAATAAAGTTTAAGATTACCCAATGGAACTTATACTCATTGCCATGACATATGACATACATATCTTTTTTTAGCAATTTGTGCAACTAGACCGATTAAAGGCCTGCTTGAACACGTCAAGTCTTGCTTTCAAGTCTGCTCGGTTCCTAGGCGAAGGAGGTGAGAAGAGAGGGGAAAAGTACATTCGTCTCACCTCCTTCGCTTACGAGCGAGCAGACTTGAAACCAAGACTGGACATGTCTGAAAGGGGTCATAACATATCGCCTGCCTGATAACTACAGTGTCTTTCAGGCAGAGATATTTGCCATAGAGAAGGCGGCTTGTCTCTTACGCGATAGTAAGTCTCTGTCAGGGAACGTCACGACGGCATTGAAAATATTATGCTCCAGTGTGGTAAACTCGAAAGCAATTCGGAAATTTCGTGCAACGCTGGCTTCACTGAGTCACCTAGAAACCTCTCTCTGCTGGGTTCCTGGACATAGCAATATAGAAAAGAACTAAATAGCCGATGAGATGGCTAGACACGGCTTGAAAATGCAAATTAGAGAAGCGGATAACTCCCTGGTGCCACCGATTTCTTTTCTGCTAAGGGGGATTGAAGATTACACCGCAGCCGTAACCAATGACCTTTGGATCAATCGGGACGAGTGCGAGGTCTCAAGATCCTTGTGTTCGAGACTTAATAAGACTCGTACTGTAGAACTACTGACACTAAACAAATCAGCAGTAAGTAGCACCAATGCTAAAATGGCTTATATCAACAAGCTCACTCTGCAGAAGTTGTCAGGATGAGGATGAAGAGGAATTGAATCACCACCTCTTGCCAATCCCCAGCTCTCCAGACAATGCATGTTGGAAAACGTGAAGGAACGTTGACAATGTCGGAAATGTTGTTAAACACGGTGTAAATTTTGTGGCGAACCGTGGAAAAGTGTAAAAGAAGAAAGCAAATCTTACTAGTTGTGCGGTCAAGCATGTGTATTCTGGTATGTTTAGTAGGTTGCGTGACTCGAGCTGGTCAAGCAAGTCTGGCAGGCGTGCACTACTCCAGTCTGCTTAGTGAGGTATGGCCCTTCGGGGAGTATCGCGAGGGCTGTGGTTTAATACCTAAATGCGGGTAGAACTCGCATGGGTTCAATGTGGAGTTGCATTGCAACCGGGTGCCGGGACCCAAAGAACGGCAGAGATTTAGGTAGGTTTCGGCTTTACCAAGGTGGTAAGTGTGTCGGTCCCACACTGCCTTTGGTGCTGAAGTGCTTGCATTTCAGGGCAATGATTAAGGCATGAATTAATCCATGAGCTTAACGGGCTCTGTGGAGTTTAGACCGTATACTACGGCAGGTACCCACAATAAACCTGAACTACATCTCCAGACAAGGCGTCTGAAGCATTTGGGATCACGCTTTTTCAATAGCTTGGGGGAGATAGCGGAGGTGAAAATATCGAACATACATTCGTACACGCCTTCTTAACCTAACCTAAACATGTTCAGTGTTTAATACCATAACGGTTCTTTGGAGCACTCAAGAACCATTGTTTAGAAATTGCGGCACGCTGCAGCACAGTAATATGGTGCAATGCACATTCAGCCGTTCGGTACATTCAAAAATGTCTAGGAGTTATAACGTGCGGTATGGTGAAGTGAAATCATCGATGAATAGCCAGATAAAAAATATCTGTAAATTTTGTTCAAATAATTGAAATGAAATCTGTAAATATTATTACCAACACGTAATGCAATAAATCTATAACTCAGGATCTCATAAGGAGTTTCTTGCATCTCTCCAAAAGATATCCTTCAGTTCATGTTTTAGGACAAATCTAAAGAAGCTCTGTAATTTACTTCACTCGCACTTAATCCGGGGGAATCCATCCTCATAGGCGAAAAAGGACATCAAACGGGCTTGCCAAAATTACCATTTGTATGATAACATAAACGCAAATCCTTCCGCCCAATTTGACTATCAAAACAAATATTTTATGCTTCACCTCTTATTCATGGCGTAATAAGAGGAGAAGCATAAAATATTTGTATTGATAGTGAAATTGGGTGGAAGAATTTGCTAAATGGGCAAGACCATGAAGTAAGCCATTGAAATTTTCGATTCTATGATTTTCTGCGGAAGAGTTTTTCTATTTTTTTATAAAGAATTACTATATTCCACATGTATGTATTAAAGTAAGACTAACCCAATAAATGCTGTATATCTCCTTTCTTTTTTCCAAACTAGTGCGATTTGGAGAAGTTCAAAGCCGTAGCTGAAGAATGCAAGGAAGAAGTTGGCGCCACAGACGGTAAACAAATATTTACATATGTCGCGTTTAAAAGATATAGGCATTATAAATAACCAATGATTGCAGAGGACGTTGAAACTATGATCAATCATGAGCCAGCTGGTACACCGGAGGCAAAATGCTTACACGCATGCGCCATGAAAAAATTCGGCTTGGTCGGTTGAGTTCACAAGGAACGAAGATCAAAGTTCATTAATAATTTTCCTTTTCCATTTAAGATGAATGACGATGGCAAACTCGACAAGGAAAGGGCCATAGAAATTTTGAAAATTATAAAAAGCGATGATGAGGAGCAACAGAACTTGGGCGTGGAAATTGTGGATGCTTGTGCGGATATCGACGTAAATGAAGATCAGTAAGTAGTGATATAAAAAATCCGTTTAACTTTTAAGCAAACATTCAAAATTTTTGCAGTTGTGAGGCGGCTGAGGAATATCGCACTTGCATGCACGCGAAAGCTGCTGAAAATGGTTTTACCTTGGGACGCGTTTGAATTTTTTAAATAAATTACTGAACCCTCTTCAAAATACTTGACGACGACCTTGGCTTTAAAATTATTTTTAATTAAGTAAAAAGCATTTTGTAAATTTGGCTGTTCCTCTGTACTCTCT